TTCTGTTTTGTGTGCCCTCCCACCTGAAACGAGAGCTCTGGGGAGTGAGTCTACAGGACCTACTGCTATATTTATTACTTCTTTCCTCCTGCCAAAGTTGGACTTAGTTTGTTGCTCTTATTCTAATTCCTTGAGGTGTAGAGTTAGAATTTTTAAAATCTTTCTTCTTTCTTAACATAGGCATTTATCGCTATAAAATTCCTTTTTTTTTCCTCTTTTTTGTGACCAGCCGCACCGCGCTCAGCTAGTGAGCGCACCGGCCATCCCTATATAGGATCCGAACCTGCGGCGGGAGCACTGCTGAGCTCCCAGCGCTGCACTCTCCTGAGTGCACCATGGGCTCGGCCCTAAAATTCCCTCTTAATACTGCCTTTGCTGCATCCTATAAGTTTTGGTATTTGTGTTTTCGTTTTTGTTTGTCTCAAGGTATTTTCTAATTTCTTTTTTGATTCTTTTCTTTGACTCACTAGTTGTTTGAGAGTGTGTTCTTTAATTTCAACATATTTGTGAATTTTCCAGGTTTCCTTCTGCTATTGGCTTCTAGTTTCATTCCATTGCAGTAAGCAAAGATACATAATGTGATTTCAGTCTTCTTAAACTTAAGAATTATTGTGTGACCTAATATATGCTCTGTCCTGGAGAATGTTCCATGTGCTTGAGAAGAATGAGTATTCTGCTGCTGTTGGGTGGAATGTTCTGTATATGTCTGTTTGGTCCATTTGGTCTACAGTGCTGTTCAAGTCCTCTCTTTCCTTATTGATGTTCTTATCTGGATGTTCTAATCATTATTTAAAGTGGGGCATTGAAATCTCTCCTATTAGTGTGTTGCTATCTATTTCTCCCTTCATTTCTGTCAATGTGCTTCAAATAGAATTAAAAGATAATACAAATCTTTCCATGAACTTTTTGAAGATCTCTCATTTAGGTGCTCTGAGATTGATCCATATATATTGTGATGGTTCATTTTAAGGGTCAACTTGACTGGTACACAAGAGTACCCAAATATTTGGTTAAACATTATTTCTGGCTGTATCTGTAAAGGTATTTCTGGATAAGATTAACATTTGAATCAGTAGACTGGGTAAAGCAGATTGTTCTCCCCAGTGTCAGTGGACCTCATTCAATCTATTGAGGGCCTGAATAGAATAAAAAGCTAAGTAGAAAAAAATTTTTTTCTCTGTCTTTGAGCTAGGATATCATTCTTCTCCTGCCTTCAGACTTAGACTCAGACTGAAATTTACACCACCAGTGTCTGGAGTTTTCAGCCTCTATAATCACATGGGCCAAATTCATATAATCAATCAATCAAGCTTTCTCTCTCTCTTCTCTCTCTGTACATGGAAAGTTCATGAAAAGATTCATAGTATCTTTCAATTCTATTTTTCCATAAGATATTTGAAGTACCCTCATATATAAACATATATGTATGTATATGCATATGTATATATATACATACTCTTCCTCTACATGATATGTGTATGTATATGTATGATGTACAAGTGTATGCACACATACATGCAGGCTAACATGAGGGGTCTTCGAAAAGTTCATGAGAAGATTCATATTATCTCTTAATTCTATTTTTCCACAAACTTCTGAAGTACCCTCGTGTGTGTGTGTGTGTGTGTGTGTGTGTGTGTGTACATACATCCTATTGGCTCTGTTTCTCTGAAGAACCCTGACTAACACATATATTTATAATTGTCGTATCCTACACATATATTTATAATTGTTGTATCTGGTGAACTGACCCTTTTATCATTATATATTATACTTTGTCTCTTGGAATTTTCTGACTTAAGGTCTGCTTTATCTGATATAAGTATGGCCACCCCAGTTCTCTTTTGGTTACTATTTGCATGGAATACTTTTTCCATCCTTTCCCTTTCAGCCTATGTGTGTCCTTAAATCTAAAGTGAGTCTCTTGTAGACAGCATATAGTTTTGGACCTTGTTTTTTTACCCATTCAGCCATTCTGTTTTTTGATTAAGAAGTTTAACCCGTTTACATTTAAAGTAACTAATGATAGGGAAGAACTTACTATTGCCATTTTGTTGTTTTCTGTTTTGTGGCTCTTTTATCTCTCTTTTCATTTCTTGCTAGCTTCCTTTGTGTTAAGTTGGTATTTTACAGTGACATGCTTTGATTCCTACCTTGTTTTCTTTTGTGTATTTTCTATAGGGATTTTTTCTTTGTGGTTACCATGGAACTTACATAAAACATTTTATAGTTATAACAATCTCTTTTAAGCTGATAACAACTTAACTTCAATTATGCACAAAAACTCTGCTCCTTTATTTATCTGCCCTTCTTTGTTACTGATGTCCCAAATTATTTCTTTTTATACTGTGTTCTTTAACAGATTTATAAGTACAGTTTTTTTATGCTTTTATCTTTTAACTTCTATGCTAGAATTAAAATTGGTTTATACACCATCATTATAGCACTAAAGTATTCTGTATTTGTCTATAGTTACCTTTATAGACATGCTTTATACTTCCATGTGCTTTCATATTGCTGTTTAGCATCTTTTTGTTTCAACCTGAATGACTTGCTTTAGCATTTCTTGTTAGGCAGGTCTAATGGTGATGAACTCTCTCAGCTTTTGTTTATCTTTTATTTACTTCTCCTTCATTTTTTAAGGACAGTTTTGCCAGATACAGTATTCTTTGCTAACCGTGTTTTTATCTTTTAGCACTTCTATCATTTCATCCCCTCTGGCTTGCAACATTTCTGCTGAAAAAATCGTCTTATGATTTCATGTAGGTTCCCTTGTAGGTGATGTCACTTTTCTCTCGGTACTTTCAAATTCTCTGTCTTTGACATCTGACTATTTGATTATAATGGTCCTGGTACAAATGTCTTTGGATTGCTTTTTGTGGAGTCCATTAGGATTCTTAAATATGGATGTCCATCTCCTTATTCAGATTTGGAATGTTTCTGGCAGTTATTTCTTTAAAAATACTTTTTTCTCCTTCCTCTTTTCCCCTTTTTGGACTCCCATATTATGCATTTTATCTACTTGATGGTGTCCCATTAGTCCCTTAGGCTCTCTTCACTCTTTTTTATTCTTTTTTTACTTTTTGCTACTCTGACTGGACAATTTCAAATGGCCTATGCTCAAGTTTGCTGATTCTTTCTTCTGCTTGATAATGACTTTAGTCTGCTCTGAACCGTCTAGTGAATCTTTCAGTTCAGTTATTGCATTCTTTAGCTCAAAAATTTCTGTTCACTTTTTTACATCTCTTTGTTAAAATTCTCCTTTTGTTCATGCATCATTTTCCTGAACTCATTGAGCATCTTTATGACAGTTACTTTGAATTCTTTGCCAGGTAATTCACATATCTCTTTTTTTTTAGGATTGGTTTCTGAAAATTGATTTTGTTCCTTCAATTGGGAGATTTTCCCTTGATTCTTTGTGTTCCTTGTAATTTGGTGTTAGTATCCATCCACTTGAAAAAACCATTACTTCTACCAGTCTCTATGGACTGTCTACATGTAGGAAAAGACTTTCACCAGTCAGCTGAGCTAGAGATGCTGGAGGACTATCAACCCTTTTCTGTGGATGTGGCTTCTCTGGACTTATTCATGTAGAGTCCTAATTAGAGGGATTTATTCATTTCTTTTTTTCAGGAGCTTATAATCTCTTGTTCTCTCTGGTGTCTTTTTGCTATACCACAGCTCCTCTGAAGCAGCAGCATGCTGCCAATCTCTTTTTTGTTCTCAGTGGCCCCCAGTCATCTAGAGCATGCTAGGTTCCACCTGCACTCTGAGACAGGTGAGATGGAAGCCAGTTTCTTGAGCAGCTTCTTTAAAAATCAGAATGTTCAATGTACAGTCCAATCTTCTCTTTCTTTCCCCAGGGGGATGGGCCATGGCAAGAGGAGCCACAAATTTTCCTACCAGCTCCAAAGTGGCTGGTTTTGTGTTCACCTGGGGTGCAAGGTCCTCTTAACTGGCTTCTCGATTTCTTGCAAAGGGAATTGGTCCATATGATGTTGAATCAGTGTATTTGTGGGAAGGAAAAGGGAATAGAGCTTCCTATGTTGCCATCTTGCTGCTGCTACTCACTCCCCTCCTTTTTTAATTTTAATCTAAGAATCCTTTGGTGTTCTAATTTTCACTGGATCAAAAGAGCTTATTTTTTGCTCAGACGCCTTGATCACTCTTATTTCCTTTTACATAATTTTTCAATACACGATGTGCAACTTTGCACTTTGGATGGGTCTCAGGAGAGCACCCCAGGTTCTGTTTCTCAACCTGGAGGGGGAGAGTGTTCCACTGCCCCTAGGGGTTTTTGTAATTGGGTGGAGGTGCTGTAACAACAACAATGTACTAGAAGCATTTAGTAGGTGGGAAGAGGCTGGAATAAAAGGGACAGCCCCACACAGAGAAGAACTGTCCTGCCAAAAATGCAAACACCACCACCTGAAAGTAATTAAATTTCAGTATTCATGATTTCTGACCAATCAGTGCATGTAAGTGTTTCTTGTCCATAAAATCCAAAGGCTACTGTATATACAGTTTGTGCATTCCATGAACTGCTGGCTAAGGAACTGCAGGCTGGCCTGTAACTGGAACAGAGATTCAGCCTATGGAATTATGTTTGCCCAGAGAGTATGACTTTTCCTAATTCACAGAAGTGTCATTATAAGGAGCACTAGCCCTGTTCCTAAGTCCTGTAAAAAACTCTCTTTTAGTAGGAGTTATCCCTTTACTATATATTAAGCTGAGCATAAAGAATTAAGGCACAGAATGGTTAAATGAAATGTCTATGCTTACTTGAAAAGTCCTAGGAGCCAGACATTGTATTCAAGTCGACTCATAGCTCCTACTCAATTAAGTACTTATAAATTATTATTGAGTTCTCAAATAAGCATATTTTATAACCTGTAAATATTTTTCAAATTATTTTCAAATATAAACTTTCAGTTATGTACTGGTAAATAAATTATCTACATAAACCCAGTAAATAATCTTATAAATGATGCATATTCTGATTTCAATTTTTTTTTTCTTTGACCAGTAAGGGGATCACAACCCCTGCCCTGGTATGGTCCACACCACGCTCAACCAGTGTGTGCACCAGCCATTCCTAATATAGGATCCAAACCTGTGGCCTCAGCGCTACCAGTGCCACACTCTCCCAAGTGAGCCATGGGGCCAGCCCCTGATTTCAATTTTTAATCTAATCATTCAAGCTTTTTTTCCCACCCTATTAAGAACTTTTTCTTTTTTTTTAAGTCAAAAAGTTAATTGAATTCTTTTGAACTAAAGTCTGCAGCTCCCTTGGGTAATTTTGTTATAACTGCTAGGTAATAAATAAGCTTTGAAATACCCATTATTATTATATTTGATTAAAGATGTTAATAGAGTCACAAAACCTTATTGATCAAAATCACTATATAAATTGCTGGGAATATATGAAAAGCTTTACTTACCCTTTCTATTTTATATGGTGCAACAATGTTATGTTCTTTAATGAAATATACCTGAGAAAGACAAATCAAAAATTGTAAAATAATTAGCAAAATTTTTCATTGTAAAGAGTAACTATAAATCAGGATATTATAAATCAAATGTTTTAAATCATTGTTACATAATCTCTATTTCCAAAAGTACTTGCATTAATATTAGTATTGCTTTAAAGTTTTGATGTTAAAATAACAAATATTAAGTTGAAAAGAGAATTATCAAGGAAACAAGATAGCAACAATTATTTGATAAATAAATATCTAAGATGTTTTATGAATAACATCACTTATACCAAGTAACCAAGAAGACAGGAGAAGGAAGCTAATCTCTAAGTGCCAAATGTCTAAGAAATGGGTGGCATGTGGCATGAATTACATTTATTAACATAGAGAATGTCTCTTCCCTAGAGGTGATCTGGGAAAGTAGTGTTTTCACATGCACTGGGCCACCTGTCCTCACACTGTATATTAATAACTATGTTGAATAAGCAACAACATTCACCAGAGCCATCGACCTCTTGGCACCTGGACCCTTATCCCTGCCTTTCCTCCTGTTACAATGAAGGGTCTGGCTTGGGCTCTCAAAGGCCCTGCTACTCTACTGGGGCACAAAATGTGGAACCCCTCCACCCATCGGCTACTCAAACACTTTGCTCCTACGATTATACACTGTACTTTCTCCCATTTTATGGAAACCATAGATAACATCCTCTTCCCCGTGGTCTCACATCCTCTTCCCCTTGGTCTCACATCCTCCTTTGGCCATTTTTCTGTTCCTTTTTTGTCTTTTGTCTTTTTCCGTGTCCGGCAACGGATCGCAACCCTCAGTGTCGCCCCCGTACCGGACCGGGACCGGCAACGGGATCGCAACCCTCGGTGTTGCGCCCGCACCTCGCTCAGCCAGTGAGCGGGAACTGGTCACCACATGGGATCCGAACCCTCAGCAGGAGTGCCACCACGCTCCCAAGCGGCGCACTCTCCAGTGCGCCACTGGGCCGGCCCAAAATGTGGTTTTCTTTTTTTTTTTTTCTTTTTGTCTTTTTTACTGACCGGTACGGGATCGCAACCCTCGGTGTCGCGCCCGCCCCCCGCTCAGCCCGTGAACAGAAACTGGTCACCACATGGGATCCGAACCCTCAGCAGGAGTGCCACCACGCTCCCAAGCGGCGCACTCTCCAGTGCGCCACTGGGCCGGCCCAAAATGTGGTTTTCTTTTTTTTTTTTTCTTTTTGTCTTTTTTACTGACCGGTACGGGATCGCA